GGATTATCTCTCACCGTGGTTAAAGGATCATCTAAAACTTTGAGTTTTGAATCTAACAGCTCTCATCCAGAAAAGGCTCTTAAAGACGGATCTGGAGAAGTTAATGGTTCCTACAACCAATGATGAAAATACATGGCCACAGGCAACTCTCCATCAGAGATTATAACTCATATGCTTCTCAGCATCTGGTATAAAAGAATAGATGGTTGGTGACCACAGCAAATGGGGAAGTACAGGCTCATACAGATACTAAGATTTTCATTTTAGGGGCGCCTGGGTGGCTCAGTGTGTTAAGCCTCTGCCTTCGGCTAGGTCATGATCTCAGGATCCTGGGATCGAGCCCTACATCGGGCTCTCTTCTCCGCAGGGGGCCTGATTCTCCCTTCTCTCTGCCTGCCTCTCTGTCTACTTGTGAAAAGTATCTCTCTGTCAAATAAATAAATAAAAATTTAAAAAAAAAAAGATTTTCATTTTAAAACAATATTGTGCTGGCCAGAAAAAAATCTGCATGCTAAATTTGGCCCATGGGGCCCCAGATTTTGATTCCCAAACTACATGATATGACAAAATTTAGGGGACTCTATCCCTTCCTCTCCAACACAGTCATCCATTAGTCTGCTGGTTGTCATCTGAAGTATTTTCCCCTCCCCATCAATGTTTTTCTGGCTTTTGTGTTTATTCTTTCATTGGGGTGGTTTCTTTCTTCTTCTTTTTTTTTTTTTTCTAAATAGATAATACATTCACATGGTTCAAATGAAAAGAAAATATAAAGTACTATACAGTGAAAGCCCCACTCCTACCCCCACTTGTGTGTATCCAGTTCCCATTCTGATTCTCATTCCCTCACAGACCACTTCTGTTACTGGTTTCTGGGTTTCCACCAATGTCATTATCTTTATATTAAGCTAAATAAGCACCCAAGCACATACATTCTTATGCTCCCAATTACAGACAAAATATTGCATGCTATACCTATATTTTCCTTTTTTAAAGGCAATCATAAGAATCACTTAACTTAGAAGGAATATATGAATACAAATACACACACAAACACACACACACACACACACACCCCTTTAGCATCTATCTACCCTGCTGACCTTTATATAGATCTATGAATAGTGTGTTTACTTTTTTTCTTAAGATTTTATTTATTTATTTGAGAGAGAGAGAGACAGCTAGAGAGATCATGAACAAAAAGGGGAGGGAGAAGCAGGCTTCCCACAAACAAGGAGCCCGGTGTGGGGCTTGATCCTGGGATCACAACCTGAGCCGAAGGCAGAGGCTTAACCAACTGAACCACTCAAGCACCCCAATAGTGTTTCCTCATTCCCTTTTTATAGCTGTATTGTATTCCTTTGAAAGGAGATATAGACTTAGATATATAGATAATTTATTTAATCAGTCCAAAGTGGATATTCAAGTAACTTCCAAACATTATATATTATAAAAATTACTACATGTATTATTTTTGTATGAATAATCTGCATGCATTATTTTGCATATGTACAAGCTTATCTATGAAATGAATAGTGGAAATGGGATACCAGGTCAAAAGCAGATGTAATTATAATTTTGACAAATATTGCTAATTACCCTTAGAAACCATACTGGTTTGAGTTAATATCCATTCTTACCATATCCAGTCCTACCACCTCTCCAGATGAAGGTGCTATCAAACTTTTGAATATTTGTCAATTTAATGGTTAAAAAATGATATTCTAGGGTAGTTCTAATGTGCATTTTTTATTGTCTTCTCATATGTTTCAAAGTCTTTTATATTTGCTTCTGCATGATATATCTGTATATATCTTCAGCTTATTTTTTTTGAGCCATTCTTTTTTTTTTAAGATTTTATTTATTTATTTGAGAGAGAGAGCATGAGAGGCGAAAGGTCAGAGGAGAAGCAGACTCCCCACTGAGCAGGGAGCCCGATGTGGGACTCAGTCCCAGGACTCCAGGATCATGACCTGTTGGTCGTTTGACCAACTGAGCCACCCAGGTGCCCTTTGGCTTATTTTTTTAATAAGGTTTTTTTAATAAGGTTATTTTAATAAGGTTATTGATGTTGCTTACAATTCTAGTGTGTAATAAACTGGGGATATTAGTCCTTTGTCTGTAAGGTCAGTCGGATATTTGTGTATGTAAGTCTCACTTTACTGTCTATCTTTTATTGCTGCTAATGGTGATTTCATTTTCCATGTATGGGTCTTTTTTTTGTTAATGCACTTGAATTTATCAACCTTTTATTTTATGGCTTCTGGATTTTGAGTCAAGAAAGGACTTCATGCCAAGGTTATAATGGAATTAATCTACGTTTTCTTCTAGTATTTTTATTATGATATATTTTTACATCTAAATCTCTGAGCCTCTTCGAATTTGCTATGGTATGTGATATCACATATAGATTCAACTTTCAGGGACATTTCACTCATTTTTTAATAGATTTAAGATACCAATCTTATTATATAATCCATTTGTGCATGTGCTTGGGTCTCTTTGCTGAATTCTATCCAACTGGTTTGTTTTTCTATTATTCATAAATACCAAAGTGTTTTAATGATGTTTTCATATGGTTTAGTCCACCCCTAATGCTCTCCCTATAGAAACTTTCATTGGTTATCCCGGTTTTTATTTTCTCCAAATGAACTTTATCAGCTTTCTTAGCTTTTTTTATAATTGGATTTTTATTGGGATCATAAAAAGTTAATATGGGAAGACTGGATATATTTATGATATAGAATATCCTACCAAGAACATGGTCTCTCTTTCCATTTCTATTTTTTTTTAAGATTTTTTTGTATTATTTATTCATTTCAGACAGAAAGAGAGAGCATGAGCAGGGGAATAAGGCAGGGGGGAAAGGGAGAAGCAGACTCCGCACTGAGTCAGAAGCCCAATGTGGGGCTCCATCACAGGGCCCGGAGATCATGACCTGAGCTGAAGGCAGACACTTAACCATCTGAGGCACCCCGGTGCCCCTCTTTTTCCATTTCTTCAGGCTTTTTTTGTGTATGTCTTTCAGGAGATTTTCAGTATGTTCTTCATATACATACTACATATTTCCCCTGATTTATTTTTAGCTATTTCAGTTTCTATTAATATTTCTTTGGCAGAGAAGGTTTTTCTTCTTTTACATAATTTTTGTAAATATTGGAAGAAAGCAATTTATTTCCATAGTAAGTAAGATGTGGCTTTGGGGCTGAGATAGATACAGATAGGTAGATATACTGAGGTGGGATTATCATGTTAAGGAAACTTTTACCTATTCTTACTGTTTGTTGTTTTTCAATCCAAAATGAATGTTGAACTTCATTAAATGCCTTTTCAGAATCTTAGTTATCATCATATTATTTTTCCCCTTAAATGTATTCACGTGATGAAGGATATTAATAGAGGCCCTAATATAAAACCATCCTTGCATTTCTTCAATTGAGCCTAGTTGTTTCTGGTGTATTTTAATTGCTGTTAGATCCCATTAGCTGATGTTTTATTTAGACTGTTTGCACTGATGTGGATAAGGGATATTGTCTTTGGGTATTCTTTTTTGTACAATCTTTGTTAGATTTTGATATCTGCATTCATTACAAAAATAATTCAGGTTTTTTTCCTAATGCTCCAGAAATTTTAAATACTATTAACTTATATACTCATTAAGGTTTAGTAGACCTTTTTTTTTTTTTTTTAACCTATCTGGGCCTTAATAGACCTGGTGTTTTTTGGAAGTGACTCTTTTCGATGCAAACAGATTAAATTTTCCATTTCATCTAAGTTTTGGAATATTTTGTACTCCTGAAAATAAACCATTTCATACAAGTTTTCAAATTTATTCAGATATTGCAGCAAAATTATTTTATTGAGCTTTAAATATCCTCTGTTTCTCAGAATATCACCCCTCTTTTTTAACATTTCTTACTTTTGCTATTGAGGTTCTCTCTCTCTGTGATGAGATTAACAATTTATTAGTTTTTTTTTTAAAAACAGAAGCTTATAAACGAAAGCTAACGACATTTTAAAAATAAAAACTTTAAAATAAAATTTGCCATTATTCTATTTTCTAATGAATTCCTTCATGTTGTCATAGTGATGCCTCAGAGCAAAATCTCCACGGCACTGTCACGCTGGAACTTCAATGTTGGCTGGGGCAGTTTCTCTCCAGGCTGTGGTGGCTGAAGCAGCTCTGTGTCACGCTCTGGATTGCTTGTGCAGCTCAACCCTCTGTGTCTCTTGTCTTCCTCCAGAACCAGCAGGCTAGCTCACGACTGTTATTCAGGCAACTGCAGGGCAACTGCAGACACACAAGAGTTTATGTTGCTGCGCATGCGCACTGCAAGCCTCGATGCATCCCGTCTACTGGCGTCCCATCTGCCAAGGAAATCCATGGGCTGGAGCACAGGGGCGAGAGGCGGGAACATACACAGAGAGAGCTGAGAAAGTGGGACCAATCTTCAGTCTACCAAACTTCTGCTTTCCTGGAGTTAATTTTTATTTTCTCGCTCTAAATTTGGAACTGGGTATCTATTCATGACTCCTTTTTTTTTTAAATTACAGTAAACTTTATTTTCATGGATATGTCACTTGACAAAATTTCAAAGTAGATCTGTGCTCTAGGATGAACCAAGGAACAGAAAACCTAAATCTCATAAAAGATTTTTTTCACATTGTTCTGAGTATGGGGTTTCGGTGCTACCAATGTTAATACCTAACATTTCCCCGTTAGCCTTTACCTATAGATACAGAAGGAAGAGATAACATCAATATACAAGAATCAAACTGTACAAGAGAATAACAGTAAGCTCTCGGGATATATACCACCCACCTCTTCAAGGCTGTAATGATAATGATTGATTTTTCTTCTCCTGGAATGTTAATGACATTTTGTTTGGTTTGGTTTAAGTAAAAAGTCAGAATGAGTGAAAATGCTGCACTTAATTCTCTTAATACACTAAAGAATAGCGGAAGTTTTAAATTCTTCATAAGTCCAAGCTCGGACATGACTGCTACTGACAGGATCTATTCAACACACTAATTCCAAGTTTGGTGACTGTCAACAAACTGGCACCCAAGATTAAGCCCACAGGCCTAATCCATCCAGAGTGATGAAATCTCATTCCTATAATGCCATTTAAGGTTCCAGATATAACTAGGAAAACCCAAATGTTCCTCAGATCCTGAGAGAGCTGATAAGCACCCAGGCTTGCTAAGCCACCGAGAAGCCCAGCAGCCGATGATAGGGCACTAGATTTTGCACAGCCACTGAACCTACCAGAAGCAACCAGTGTTGCACAGCCAAGGCCAACCCAGTGTAAAGGCACTAGAGGACCAGAGGCCTTCTGCATTGTTCTCTTTTCACTCTGACCAGACAGAAGCATACACCAGGCCTGCACTGAACTGCTTTCCCCTAGGTCTGCACTGGTCTAAAAGGGTGCACAAGCCCCATGACTCCATTTTTTGCTGATGTAAGTATTTTAAGATGATGAATTTTCCTCTAAAGCCCCTTTTAACTACATCTCATAGATTCAGAAGTGTTATTATATTCTTTTCTCCATACAATGCAATTTCATTTTTTATTTCCTCTTCAACTTAGATCTTAAGAAAATATTATTACAAATTCCAGGTAAAAGGGCCTCTTGGTTATCTAGTTTCATTGCATGGTGATTAGAAAAGGCTGTACCGAAAATTCCTGTTTATTTTAAATTCAGAATAGATTAAGGATCTTCTGGTGGCCCCATATATGGCCAATTCCTCTAAATATTCCAAGACTTATTCAAAGTTAATAAAGTACAGAATTACCTTATCAATTAGCTCTATCTATTATTTATGTTATTTCAGTATTCAATATACTTAATTATTTTCATCCACTTGATCTGACATGGACCAAGAGGGGTGAATTCATGTCTCCCACTAGTGTTTTTATGTCTGTTTCCTGCTCTTATCACCTGTAATTTATGCTTTATGAATGTTTAGTGCACAGATATTCATAACTGTAATATGCCCATTGTGAGTTACACACTTGTGCACTATTGGGTTTTTATTTCTCAATATTCTCTTTGGCTGGAGTCCTAGCTTATTTTTATTTGTGTTTTCTGGTCTGCTCTTTTTAATTCTTTTATTTTCAGCCTTATTGAAGTACCTTGTTTTAGATGAGTCTATGCCATAGAATTAAGTTGCATAATCCATCCCGGAGATTCATTTCCTTTAAAAACTAAGTTAAAGGGCACCTGAGTGTGGCTCAGTTGGTTAAGTGTCAGGCATTTGATTTTAGCTCAGGTCCTGATCTGATGTTTGTGAGATCAAGCCCCATGTTGGGCTCTGCATCAGCTTGGAGTCCACTTGAGATCCTCTCCTTTTCACCCTCTCTCTGCTTGCGCTCTCTTGATCTCTTTCTCTAAAATAAATAAATAAAATAAATCTTAAAAAAAAAAAAAAACTAAGTTGAGTCTTTAAAAAAAACAAAATTTAAAAAAAAGTTAAACAAGCTAAGATAAGCCTTTTAACAGGTGAGTTGATATAAAAGTTATGTTTTGTCTTTGCTCCATTTTCTGTATCATTTTAAGGGTACTCTTTCACTATAAATTCTGGGTTTGTTTTTTTTTTTACTTTTTGTGTGTTGTTGGTCTGCTATTCAAGTTGTGTGTTTTTTTTTTCCTTTAGTAGTTACCTTTATAGTAATATTTTTTTATTAGACCCTTAGTCATGTACTTCTTTTAACTGTTTCTGTAAGTTCCCTACTATAATGATTAAAAATAAGGCTATTTCTTCTTCCTTTTCCCTTTCTTTCCTTGTCTCTCTCTTGACTTTAGTTACTAATAGTGTTTATTTTAAGAAGTTAAATGAGACAATAAATTATCTAATTTCTGACCTCCTTTCCCCCTTGCCTATCCAATTTTTGTTAATTATATCATTTCTACATAGTAAAGACATATAACATTTATATTTCGTTCTGACATCTCAATTCCCGTATTTTTTTTTTCTACAGGAAAATACATTCAATATTTATTCCCAGTCCTTTTGCCACTATTCACCTACTTACTTAGTTGGCCAAATTCGTTGTCTAATCATTCCTTCTAGTAGGACTCAATGGCACAGTATTTTCTGAGCTCTTGCATGACCAAGACCGTTCATAGAATAGACTTCATTTTTAAATAAACTGTGGTTGGTTAAACAATCTTTAGTTTACATTCTTTACTTAGGTCTCTTGTTGCTCTCCAGTGTCTTACATTGAAACGCTGATCAGAAGATATATGAGGCTAGTATTTTGCTCTTCTAGCAATATTTGTTTTGTTCCTGGATGCTGTTGCTATGGTGGTACCTTCCCTCTTCATTTTTAGAGTCCAAGTACACATCTTAGAGTTGACCATCCTGAATCTGTTTTCCTGGTTTACTGGTATCCATTTAAAATCTTAAAGTTTACTTAAGCTCTGTGATCCTAGGAAACAGCAATGTTAAAAAAAATCCCACCACTCTTGTGTTCTAGGAAACTGCTTATTGCAAGGAACCACCATTCCATGCATGACTCAGATAAGACACACAGATTCCTTCTTATTTACTTGTGACAGGGCAACACAGACCTCCAAAATTCCTATTCTTTGCCTCATAAATGATTAGCTGAACTGTTTTGTCCTCACTGATCAGTGATGAACAAAATACCTGCTAACTAAACTCTGGCTAACTTTCCCTCCTCCCATCACCTATCTGAACTTTGACCCATTCTCTGCCTACATCAGCACACAATCCCCCTTTAATGGTGTGCAAGACAATAGACTGACCTCAGGGTAATATATCCTTTGATTTATTGTCTAATCATAGATATTTCTGCTCCTTCACAGGGAAACTTAAGTCTTGCTTTCATCCTAGCTGTTACTTGTAAAAAGTTGCTAGGTTCTTATTTGCATTCAAATCCTCAAATTCCCTGGTAGTAGATTTTGTCTCCTGGGATTAAACACAGAGGGGATAAAGTGTGGAGAAAGCATAGTGAAGAACCCAGGGTCCCTTTACTGGGGTCCATTTTTATCCAATTTCCTTATATACTCTCCACTCATTCTTTGCTATTCTCCCATTTCACAATATTTTTATCCTCCCTCAATGGTAAGAACAACTGAATCTGACTGATCTCTTCATTTTTTATCTTAAACCTTAGACAAGGCTTTTGAAAATCAAAACTTTTTCCTTTCTCTCTCTCTCTTTTTTTTTTTTAAGATTTTATTTATTTACTTGACAGACAGAGATCACAAGTAGGCAGAGAGGCAGGCAGAGAGAGAGAGAGGAGGAAGCAGGCTCCCTGCAGAGCAGAGAGCCCGATGTGGGGCTTGATCCCAGGACCTTGGGATCATGACCTGAGCCAAAGGCAGAGGCTTTAACCCACTGAGCCACCCAGGCACCCCACTCTCTCTCTTTTTTTAAGATTTTATTTATTTATTTGACAGAGAGTGTGAGAGAGCACAAGCAGAGTGAGTAGTAGAGGGAAAGGGAGAAGAAGGCTCCAGTCCCAGGACCCCGAGATCATGACCTGAGCCGAAGGCAGATGCTTAACCATCTGAGTCACCCAGGCACCCCTTTTCTTTCTCTAGCTTTATTGCATCATCCTCCTTTGAACTAATCGGAGTCACCAACGCCTGCACGTGCAGTAACGAAGTAGGAAGCAAGAATGACAGAGGAAAAAACAGAATAGTATCCTATAGGGCTCTGAGCTGGGAACTGTTTTCATTTACATAAAAGAAGTGCTTTGAGTCATCTACAGTCTCACCAATCCCTATTCCTCTAGGTCCTACAAATCTTGAGACATCTGGGTGAATCTAGGGAGGGATGTCTCCCAATGAACTCCTTGAACATCTCAAGACCAAGTTTTATAGGCAGAACTTATCCCCAATCCCTTTGTTATCATCTTCTACTGAAAACATCTGGCCAGATAATAACCAATTATTTTCTTCTCACCAACCCTTTTTATTTTCTTCAGATACCTAAGATACAGCTTACTGGACACTCAGTTTTCTGTTAATAGCTCATTTTCAGCCCAGAATTGCATAATTCTCTTCCTTTTTATTTTTTTTTAAGATTTTATTTATTTATTTGACACAAAAAGAGATCACAAGTAGGCAGAGAGACAGGCAGAGAGAGGGGGGGAAACAGGCTCCCTGCTGAGCAGAAAGCCCAATGCAGGGCTTGATCCCAGGACCTTGAGATCATGACCTGAGCCAAAGGCAGAGGCTTAACCCACCGAGCCATCCAGGTGCCCCAATCTTCTTCCTTTTAAAATAGAAAATATCTCCAAGTCTCTATCTTCATCTATAAAATGAGGATTATTATATTTCCTTCATACGTGTCATACCTATGACCTTGTTATGAGAATATGGTGAGACTGAAGATCTGATTACACCATGAAAATCAGAAAAGACTTTATCAATATCAGTTATAATTATTTACAATACACAGTAATTCCCATGATTATCAAAACATTTGCCAACAGGTCTGAGGAAACCTCTAAAAATACAAAGAAAACACTGGGAATGGTAGTTTTCCCAAAGCCCCTGGGATGCTGCCCTTCCTTCCCTAGGGCTGTGCACACCATATTCCAGAATTCTGTCTCAAAACAGGTACTCAAGGAACCTCACTTTGCAACTCAGTTATCATTACAATAACATAGTGAGGCTCAGCTGGCTGAAGCAGTTAGGGCTGTGACGTCAGTATCCAGCAAAGCAAAACTATCAAATGACTTATAGCTCAACAAGGAGCAGAGGTAAGGTTAGCGCCTGTCCTCTGTTCTATACGCTATTTGAACTAGCCTGCCCCCTAAAGTCTAATGGGAAATTCCTCCCTTCCTGGGAGAGGGTCTCTTCTTCTTGAACTGGCTCTTAGTTTTGCCTCTAATCTTCAGAAAAGAATGACTGGTGGGTGGAAGGGTTGTTTTGTTATGGCTTCTGTAAGTTTGTTTTCAGCAGGAGCCGAGGAACGGGTATGGGAAGCCTGGAAACCAGCATGAGGTTCCTTTCTGATCCTGGGCTAGTGGGCATCCTGATACCTCCATGGCTACTTGATGTCCATCATTGCAGCAGATCACTGACTCATTTGGCCCAACTGGCTGACAGAGCCATCTGTCGTCAGGGAACCCAATTCAGGACTGTCTAGTCAGGGAGCAAAACAAAACACATCTCTAAATCAAAGGACAGAAGGAGAGCTGCAGTTATCTGCTGATTTCTTTTTCTTAAATAAGGTTTTTCCTGCAAGCAGGTGGAAGGATGTACCTTACAGGGCTTCTGTGATTGGCTCTCAGCCAGTCCTATGCATTTTTCACAGCTGGCATCAAGATAAACTAATTTTTTTGCTAAATTGACCCCCATTA